TCCCTGCTGACTCGGAGGGCTGCCGACGTGTCAAAAATAATTTATTCCGAGATAAATCCTGCGTGTTTATAAATGAAAGTTTCTGAAACCATTCTTTGGAAGTTAATAAGCATACACATATCATTTTTGAAAAAAATGTTTTTCTCTGAAAATTTTGAATTCCGAGACCATGTCCCCCCTTAACGCTTTCTAAAATAATGGGAAAATGATCGCTGCCAAAAGGGTTGTTTACAACTTTCCACGAAAAACATGGGAGTAACGATGGTGATGATAGGGACAAATCAATAGCTGTACAAGTGTTGCGGACGGCACTAAAAAATGTTGCTTCTTTTTGGTTCCAAAGACCGGATGATAATAGAAGTCGTTCAATGACTCCACCACGAGAGTCCTGTTCAGGACCACCCCACAAGGGGTGGTGGGAATTCAAATCGCCAAGAATTAGAAAGGGCAGCTGGCCGACGAGTCCCTGAGGTTCTTGCGAATGCAGCGGAGTGTTGGGCGGCAAGTAGAGCGATACAAGGGTAATGAGGCGGTCAAGAAGAATTCGAACAGCCTCAAGTGGAGTCTGTAGAGGGAGCACAGGCAACTCTGTACTACCACTGCTACACCACCCGAAGGGTTTGATGAAATGCGGTCCTTTCGGAAAACCTGATGACGATGTAGCACTTTTGTGTGGGTGTCACTCAGAAAAGTCTCATGTCGGCACAAGGCCACAGGACAGAGCTCATCAAAAAAAAATGTATACCATCAATGTTACCAAAAAGCCTGCGATAATTCAACAGCATAATGCTAAAATTGTGGATCATTGTAAAGTTTATAATAAAAAATAAAAATAACTGTCAAGAGTAAGCACATTTTCTACGACTTAAAATTTATATTTACACGCGGAGCACTTTTCTTTCTGGAGGTCTCATTCGGCCTGCCCGTGGTGCCACCGGATGTAGACATTCCGAACTCGAGTGGGGTCTGTGCTTGTCGGACCTTGACCCACTCTCGTCCATTGGCTCAGCTAGAGCCGAAAGGGGCTCCTCCTTGGAGGCCTGTAACCTCGATGGCTCCCCCAGTTTCCGAGATCCACTAGGGGCAGAGGGACCAAGTTCCCAACCTCGTGGTGGCAGGAACGGAGAGGCAGGGGGTGCAGAACCCTGTGCAGGGAACGCAGACCCTGTGCTCGGGTGGATCCCGACGGACTGGCAGCCACCCTGTCATCTCGGGGTGGAGCAGTGTGGACTGCTCCAGAGGTACCTTTCTTCTGCGACGAGATGGCCTCCGTCTGCTCGGCTGATGAATCCGAGCCTTTCGCACGGTTGGGGAGGGCACCTGTCTCGGCAGCTTAAATAGCTTGCCCTGGAAGTTGCACCTTTAGTTTGGGACCAGAAGACTTAAGTGGTTGTGCAAGGTCCCCATAAGACACTTGCGTTCCCACAGACGCCATAGGCGGTGCAGGTCCCCGGCGCACCACCTCGGCAGAAGAGCCTCTCTGAGAACCCAAGAGGCGACGCTATAGGAGATGTGTTCCTTCACCTTCAGGGTCAGAATTTCCTTTTCTCTTTTAAAGTGTTCACATGACCTAGAGTATGCAGGGTGCTTGCCTTTACAATTTACACATCTCATGTCTTCACGACAGTCGTCGGCGTTGTGCTCGGAGCTACCGCACCTGGCACATGTCTCACGGCCACGGCATGAGCCGTGCCCAAAGCGCTGACAACGGAAACAACGGACAGGGTTCGGTATGTAAGGCCGGACCCTACAATTCAAGTACCTCGCTTTCACGGAAGAAGGCAGGCTGTTGAGCACAAAGGTAAGGACCAAGTGTCGCGTAGGAAGTTCTTTGTCATCTCTATGGATGGTGATGCACTTTACAGCAACAACATCCTGGCTGGGCATGCCTTCAAGAATCTCTTCCTCCTGACTCTCCATCAGGTCGTCCTCAGATATAACACCACGAATGGTGTTGAGCGTACGGTGTGCAGAGACACTGATTTTCATGTCAAGGATATGGCTGAGGCAGAGCAACGCTGCTGCCTGATTTTTCTCAAATACTTCTACCAAAAGGTCTCCAGAAAAAGTCTTTTTTGCATTAAACTTTTCCCCTACCAAGTCTTTTAAGACCTTAGCCACAAGGAAAGGGGAGAGTTTTGACATTGGTTTCGTCTCAACTTCGGCATGTACAATGGAAAACTTGGTAACGTAGTCAGTGTTGCTCTTGTCCAAAGGTGGTAGATACGCATCGGTGCGGACCCTTTTCGGGGCCCCATCAGAAGGTTTAAGCTTGGAACCCATAAGAGGAGAATGGTGTTCGAAGACTGTGGTGCACCGCCCACCACCGAGCCCAACAAGGGAATAGGTAGCGCTTCATAACAAGAAGGGCTTGGCTGAAGACGTTACTCTATTAGTGCTGCCCAGTCTCTATAAGCGAGTGTGGTTCTGGACAAGGGGTCTGTCGCCACCCCAGGTTAGCCCTTGCCGCCAAAGGGGTTGAGGAAGGAAAGAAGAGAAATGAGAAGAGTGAAAAGAAGGAGAAGACAAGGGTGAAAGAAGGGAGGGGATAGTAGAAGAAAAGGCGACTAGACTGAATCAGTGTTGCGGAGTTGCCACTTTGGAGTTGGAATGATTCCGGAATCTTTCCGAATTTTCGCGACCCCGGAATGGAATGGGAATGGAATGGCGGAAACGTTGAGGGGAATGGAATGGGAATGGAATTAGATGCCTTTTGCCCGGAATGGAATGGAAATGGAATAAGCCCGGTCCTTCTATTTTTTTTGTTTTTTTGTTTTTAGTGTTTACGGTTAGTGAATTTGAGCCAGTCAGCGAGCCAGTTTCTCAGAAATAAAATGAGCGGGCGGAAAACTGCTAACCCGCTTGGAGCTCTAACAGACTCATACACAAAAAATGCAATACAAAAAAAAAAGCGTCAAAGCAAAGAACAGAGGGGGAGGGAGGGGTAGGGGGATGGGGCTAGCGGTGGCGCCTTTCGCGCAGGTGACGGGCTTTACTGGCGTTACACGAGAGCGAGCAAAACAAGAAACCAAGCACCAAGCAAAAGAAACGAAGGCATGGAGAATACACGCGCGCACACACTGAGATCTGGGAGCGGGGGACGACTCATACCTCGCAGAGCTCTGATAACTCGTTGACTCGCGCGCCGCCGAAAGATGATCAGTTATTGTTTTCTTATAGTTCAAACAGCGTTGTTTAGCAGGCGGCCTGTTGCCTTCCACGTTCATTCGGGCGCACTCTTTTGAAGTGCGAAATCTGGGTTTGTCTCGGCATTAAAACAAAGCGAGATTCACTTTTCTCTTCTCCTCTTGCACTTTGCTCCGACGCTTGTCTTTTTATACTGCATTTTTACGTGTAGGTCCGCCTTTTACTTGGTCTTTGTTCCGATGCTTGTTTTCGGTGTTATATGTTCTACATTCAAGTGGGTTAGGGTTACAAGCAAGCTAGCGGATTCCCGCTCATTTCCTCTCTGCCTACTGTGTTTCACCTTGTGATGAACCGCTGCGGACGCTACGAGTCACCCGAGGCAATCCAGCACAGTGAGGGGGACTACACGCACGGCGCGTTACTGCGCCCCCGGGTCATGTGACACTAAGAACAGAAGGCACTGGGTTGGTTTCGATGGCTCTCTTGCTGTCAGTTGCGGTTCATCGTGAAGTGAAGCAGATTGTCGCCACCGCTCTTGTCGCGTCACTGAACTGACTAGACCTGCAGAAAGACAGTTTCGTGACCTGGTAAATGCAGTCTCTCGTGCTGTGCCGTAGAGGTTGCACTTTGTCAGGGGATGCGTTCTTGCCACTGTACATGGAGTCGCCTCCAGCAGCGTACTAGCCGTATTGCTGTGCAGATATTTCAAGAATACAGTAATCCAGCTTATTTCTGCGCCACACACGAACTGGACATTTTTATGGTCTTATCAAACAAACACGCTCGCCGCGTATGTCCTAGAAAACAAAAGCAGGAAATTTTGCCAAAAAAATTTGTGGATTTAAGTTTTGCTGTTTGTTGCGAGCCACGTGGTCGAAAGACCGACGTTTTAAACAAGCATCGACATATCAAGGTGCTTTCTCGATGTTTGTATAGAATGTAAACAAACAATTTGCGCCACCAGCGCTCCGTTTAGTAAAATCGGTGCTTTTTTTGAGGCATTTTGCATTTTATTGCAATTGTCTATGCGTTTGATAATGTCAACTTTACGGTGCTTATGCCGGCAGCACAATGTAGCTGTCAAGCGCCAACTTTTACGTTTAGGAATTAGAGGAATGGAATGGAACAATTCAGCCATTCCAGAAGTGGCAATGGGCCCAGTGTTCCCATTCCTAGGAGTTGAAAGAAATGGAATTATCGAAAACTCTAATTCCCGGAATGGAATTGGAATGGAATGGGGGTGCCCATTCCGCAACACTGGACTGAATCATCCTGGCCGGGCCAAGCCAGGACTCCCGTCTACGAGAAGCGGGGGCCGAAGTGGTGTATCGCCTCGCCCGGGGGGCCCCGAAGGGTCCAAACCTACCCCGGGCTCGGCTCAACCCCCAGGATGCCCTTTTCCCCGGACACGGGAAAGCCACGCACAGCCAGACGTGGGCGGGCGAACCCGCATGGCTCGGGGTCCGTGGAGACGCCACTCTCCAAACACCTGCTCTCATAGGTGCCCCCTGCGGGGTGAGAGCTATGGGAAAGTACCACTTCAACAGTCATACGGGATTCAAGCCGAAAGCTGCCGCGCATGCCATCAAGTATGGCAAAAAAAGCGCATTGCACAGTATAATTAAATTCGACTGACAATTGAGTCCGGATTCCGGAATGAAGGCTTTTCCGACCAGCACAGCCGAGCGCGCTCATGTTTGTTAATTTAGGAACGTGGATACAGATATTTTCTTTTGATCCATGTATGGGCCGCACCTCGAAAATTTGCCCTCAAATCAGGAAGAACCAATGTTCACGAGTTTATACGGTATATTATTCCAAGTCGATATTTTGAATATTTGCGCAATGCTTGCCGTTCTGCGCCGTGAGCAGGGAGAACTGGAAGCCCCCCTCGGTGACCGTCACCCAGTGGTCCCCCGTGGCCAGCTGGCGGGAGCCCACCCGGATGCTGTAGCACCTGAACCGCATGCCGTCCGACCGCCCGCCCGGCAGCCCCCAGGGTTGCCCCGACGGGGCCGCTCTGGCACTGCACACCGTGTGGGGAGGGCACACCGCCACGCTCGTGGAAACTGGAGGCAACCACGGACGTGGCACCGCCACCGAAAGTCTGGCAGGGGGCAACGAGTCCTGTCAAGAGAGGCAGCAATGTGAGATCTGAGGCTGCCACGGTGGTTGCAACGAAACACTCTTCTCCAGAAAGGGTAAACGGCGTGCAAAGAACAAAGAGACCAAGGAAATAAACGGGACAAGTGCCGACTTTCAACTGAGCATTTAATGACAAACATATTAGCAGCAACTATCAACTCAGTCACAACTGCTCGCCGCGTGTCCAAAAGCTCTCTCTTTGCCACGCAGAGTGACCAAAGTTGGGCGGATACACCCGTCTCTTCCTTCTGTGTTGATAGGGTAAGCTTCCGGTAGCTACCTCGACATTTGTCCCTTCCAATGACCGTGGCCTGTTCCAAGTTGGGATGACACCCACAATCTGCTCGGTGGAGGGGCCTCCAGCCATTGTTCCTAGTGTACAGTCCTGCCCAGCCATTCTATCGCTTATACGTCGGCACGTTTGGCCGACGTAGGCTTTTCTGCATGCGAGTGGGATCTCATAAACAACATCGACTGCGCACTTTACGAGTCTATTTTTGTGTACTCTTGTCCTTCTACACGCAGTCACACGTTCGTCAGGGATGATGCGGGAAAACGGGGACGATGCAAAAATCTAGATTTGCCCGATAACGTTGGGGTCGTAGATACATTTGCTTGGCACGATTCATGCTCGTGCATCATGCTCAGAGCGCAACCTGACCGAATTCCCCGAAAATTCCAGGTTGATAGATACTCTGCTCCTATCCCATATGAATTCCTTACATGGAAAGATGGCCCATCCACTTTTTCTCGCTAAATATCCGCAAGTTCAAAATTCTGAAACCTCGCCACATCACGCGATGTTCTCTGGCACTCGCATCAACAGCAGTCTGTGGCATCGGAGTGTGTGACGACAAGTTTATCTCACCACGGAACCAGAGTTTGACGTGTCCACAATCTGCTCGTGCAACGTTGGCTCCCACGGCATTAAGCAAAGCTCATAGTGGGTTCCCGTGTGTTCGCCGCACCATGGAATGCAAATTTGCAGTACAGTGTAGACCGCATATAACGTATGTCGCGGGAGTCGCGAAAATCCGCACTATAAGCGGTACCGCACTATAACCAAAACATCAATTTTTCAGGCCAAAATACATGCCATCAGACAACTTACCTTTGTAAAAGAATTTATTTTATGTTAGATGAAAAATAAAGCTTAGTTTGAGGAAAGTCTTTATTTCACCAGACTAGTACACTTCTCTCTCAAGTGTGTCACACATTTTGAAACAAATGAGCGGCTTTTGCCTGGCGCAGCCTCTTAGCGGCGTCGCGGGTTGCGGACGGACGTTGCGAGCGTTCAGGATTGCTAACCCTAATCACTTTTCTCCGGAGATGAAAACGCGTGAAAATTCGCATCCCTCATACGGTACGCGCCAGTAATACCTTGCACTTGAGCACACGCATGAAATGCGCCAAATAAGAAATCCGGGCGATGTTCGAGGACACAAATGCTTAGAAATCACCACTGTAGTCGAAGTAAACAAACACGACGACACGGGCGTTTCTGCCGACTTGAGAGTGCCGCCACGACATCGCCGCTCGAGTAGGTGGATCTTCTCTTCTAATACGTGCCGGGTTATCATAGTGACACACAACGAAAATTCACAGTCAAGGATAGCGCTTTTATGCGGAACGATGAGATGAACGCCGTCTACGACGACGATCACAACGTTGATCACAACCGACGCCTTGTTCGCAGATAGAAGCAGCCGGCCCGCGACGGGCATGCAACGCGCGCGAACACTTCTCCTGTCGTTGCGGTTGTTGGTTTCCAACGCAGTGGAGGGACGCACGCACGTGAACGACACGTGCGTGCGTCCCTCCGTCGCTAGGGCAACTGAAGCCTCTCTCTTCGCTTCTCCCGCTTCTTCGAGCACCCTCCTTGCCCCGCGAGTGCCGCTTGCGCAACGCTTGCGGCTCGCGCCGTCAGCGCCGTTATCTAGTGTCGCACAGGCAAGCGTGCTCGCTGCTCCGGTCGGCGGCGCGGTCGGCGGGCTGTGCCAGAAACCGCACTATAACCGGTATTTCCCGTCGCGCGCCTGCGTTTTAAGCGGTATGTAATTACATGGAGTTCTATGGGAGGCGAACCGGTGGTTTAAAAAAACCGCGTTATACCCGGTCCTGCACTATAAGCGGTTACGTTGTAAGTGGTCTATACTGTATCAGTTCAAGTAACGTTTGAAGCAAGTTCCCGCATATTTCTGGCACTGTGAACACTAGTTTGCTGCGTCCAAAATCTGTGGTATCACTTCTCGTGTAACAGCTTGATAGCGGGTGCCACACTGTTTTAGAGCGCAGCTCTTAGGCACCCGCATTTCGCGGCGTAATTGCCCCACTGAATTTAGCGAGAAATTGAATTGGGGTCACGTGACATCAATTTTCCCACTAAATCTAGCTGACAAACTGAATTTGTTCCTGGGCGATGTGAGATGAAGTCATGCGACGTCATTTTCCCCGCTACATCTAGTGGGGAAACTCAACCCGATAAATTTAGCGGGGAAATATTTGCTAAATTTAGAGGAAAATTTAGCGGGGAGGGACAAGGAGGAAGGAGGGAAGAGTAGGAGGAGAGAAAGGGAGGAGCTCCCCTCCGTACCCTCCTCGTCAAGAGCTGTGCTCTAGTTTCGCATTACTGAGATTTGTAAACATTCTTGCTTTTCTCGCTCCGTTTGGATAGACCTTTGCTGTCTTATCTCCAAAGATTGCCCATCCCATATTTGTCAGCGTTCATGTCTCCGAAATAGGTGGGCGTTCCTCAGTGTTATCATGGGATGGCAGGATGTCCCTTTCGAATGCCCGACCTCAAACGTGCGCCCACTGCCTCCCGTAGTACCTCGGCTGCCATGCAAGTTCACAGCTCGCACCAAAGAGTCCTCGAAAGTGCTCGTGCTGGAGGCAGGACAACTGAAGGACTTGCCCAAAATTCTCATCCTGTCTGGAGTCAGTGTTTCCAGGCCAGATGGCAACTCCCACTAGGTCTGCGGGAGCTCAACTGTACAGCCCTCCAAGTTTGTTTTCGGCAGAGTTACTCCGCGTGTTCCACATGCAGATCAAAACGTTCAAACCATCTGCACTTTGTGTCAACAACTGGAAAATGCGCGCGTTTCGTAGCATGCTTGCTCGCAGCCACCTTAAAGAATTGCTCGTTATAAAAATAATGCACTTGCACATCCTACGGGCTTGTGCAACGTTCCAAGGTTCGAGGAGCCTCCCGCTCGTCAGACTTGGGCATAAGAGCCACATTTTGCGAATGCAAAGTGCAAAGCGTATTCTCCTCCAGAGTTTACCATCGTGCTAGGCCACTTGGCAGCCTCATGGCAGTTCTTGCGCGTACAACTGCTTCTCGGCCAATAAAGAATTGGTGGCAAAAGCTTTGCCAGCCACTAGCTGTCCCCCAAAAATGTCAGCTTTTTTTTGCCACAAATATAAATTTCTTTGCATTACCGAACACTTGGCCTCTGCCAAAATGTAGAGCTACCATTCTGGACCCCATGCAAAAGTTTACAAACCAATTTATATCTAGTTCAAAAGTTATAAGCGATTTTCTGCAATTTTGATGGGAAAAACGGCGGCCGACAAAACCCACAAATCCACGGAGATGGATGGCATCAGATACCAGGAACGGGCCCAGTCTTCCCATCAAAAGGTTCGGAAAATCGCTTACAGCATTCGAGTAGCGCAACGGTTCCAGACCACCAGAGGCATATTTGGGAGCATGCTAAGGGTTCAGTGATGCGTAGTTTACTTCGACAGTTAAAAACAATTGCTTAAAAATCTTTTTCTGGGTCGATGCCGTAGTCACTCGGAAAAAGTGCCCTTTTCGTATGCTTGCAGCATACAGAAGGCACTTTGGGAGAGAGGGGTTCTGTTGCAAGCCCCGGCCAACCCAGCGCAAAGCTCCCTTGTAAGAGTGGAGCGGCACAAGTAAAGGCTGGCTCGCGCAGCTGCGTTCAAGCATGCCCGAGAGCTTTGTGCTTGGGGCACTCTAGCAGGCAGCATTGGAGCTGCACATTAGCAGACTTTTGTAGTACTTTCAGAATAAAATCTGGGCACTGTCCATGACAAATGGCCGCCCGTATCGTCGTCAGATTTATTTCAAGACCACGGCGAAAGAATGGGGAAATATGTACGAAGGTGCACCGGGGCTACCCAGCAAATGGCGCCGGCAACTTCTCTCGTAAGCAACACTCAAACGCAACTGCGTGATCCAGCCCCGGCGGTCTGGAAGTTACCGTGGCAATCAGGGAGGACTCGACAAGGATCTTGTTCGCCGTCCTCTGGTCGATCTCAACCATCAAGGCGGCCGGGAAGACCATCCGCAGGAAGCGTTTCTGCTCGTCCGTCAATGCCGGGTCGGGCAGGAACGTTATCCACTTGTGCCGTTCGTCTGCATGAAACGTCCACACCGCGTCGTCGGTTCCTCAGTCTGCAAAACCGTGGCCAGTTTGCTCGCCAATGCGGAGATGAAAAGCTTTCGCGACACATTGACAGTAAAACAAAAGAGGCCATCCCCGAGCCGGACGACCAGCTGAGGCGGCCAATTCGGGAGAAACTAAATTTTTGGTTGCGCAATCCACATCTTCGTGACCAACAGTCTCCCTTTTCTTTATTCTTGGGAAAAAGTGAAACCGTAAAGTTGAAAAAAAAAAATAAACACATGCAGAAGAAGGAAGTCGTACCATTTCTGGCACACTTTTAAAAACTCGGGCCATACAAATCCCTCTCCTACTAGCGAGGCACGTGTCATGGGTTGGAAACGAAGGAGTCAAACCCTGGTCCTAGGAAACTCAAAGGCGTCCCCTACAAAAAGACAAAAAAGAATGCAAGTTCACAAATAGACCGGAGTGAGCCACAAAGTGGCGCCCAAAGACTGCTCCATTTTCCCTTGCGAAGATCCGCAGTGGATGATACGAGGCGTCCCAACCGATCGAGCGCCGTAAAAGAACAGAGTGATGACACGCCCCGCACGAGGCCGCGCCCCTCTCGAATGTCACGCGATGGCCGCACAATGATCACGTGTGACCCCACCAGTTCGTTGCTCGCTCGATCATCTTGGACGGCTCATAGCAAGGAGGAACTCACTCGTGCCACAGGAGTCGAAGTAGCGGGGCATGCCGGGTGACATGCCCAGCATCTCCCTGAGGAAGCACCCACACTCGTGAGTGGTTCTCACGTAGAGCACCGGCATGTTGCGCGACAGGTAGCCCAGCACCTCCGTCATGTCCCTCACGCCCAGCCTCAGGTTCACCTCCTCCCACTCTGCACGGGAACCACGGGCACCAGATCAAGTCTCAGAGCCTCACGTGCCAAGGATTAAAGCTGTTCGCAGATTTGCATACGAGTGAGTGCGTACCCTCGTAGGCGCTCCCAGCAAAAGATTGTACTTGGCAGCCCTAGAAGCAGGGTGCGGTCAAACGCACCAACAGATTTGGAATGACTTGCCAAACTGCAATTCCAAATGTACATACCCGAAATTGGGCATGCGAACATGGTTTTGCGACAAGTTTTATGCATATTTTTTTCGGAGTTTGACTCGAGGGTGGCAAAATAATAAAATATAATTAAAAACAGCGGTCCTGCAATTTTTCTGCCCTACACCGAATGTTGGCTGTCTGCCCACTGGTTGGTAAGCTTGCTCCCAAGTGGTTTTTGTCCCTACATTCTGTTCAAAGTGTGGTCTCTGCAATTGGTTTTTAACGCTTTTGCATTCATCGAGCCACCAGGAAGTGAGCTCGAAAACCCGCGTGTAGACGACAAAAGGCTGGTATAGGGCACACGAAATACACAGCCCCGATTTTGCTTTATTTTTAATATTTCCCGACCTCACAATTATCAAGAAATAGACAGAAAACTCGCGGCTCAACTATGTCCCCAATTTCAGGTATGCACGTTTGAAATTTAAATTTTGCAAGGCGTGCCAAATGTCCTAACGGCCGCACCCCGTACTATATCTCGACTGAAGGTTTCGCAGTATTTACGAAATCAAATCTATGCACCATCTATGAGAAACGACTGCTCATAATTAGGGTTCCATGTTTTCGCTAAATACCCCATTTTAGTTTACTTATTCATTTATTTCTTTACCTGCTGTTTCACATTATGCAGGGGGATTAATACACCATTCAAAGAACCCTCCAAAAGTACAACCTTTTCGGTCTAGAATGCTTCCCTGTAGTCCATCGTAAAAAAAAAAACATCATTATCAATAACAGTATGCTGTTCTTCCAGAAGCGTATTCCACTCCCGGGCACTTTGAACCAAAAAATGAATAAGAAAAACAATCATTACGATAAGGATACTCGGGCGCTGTCTCAGAATGGAAAGACCTTTTTCTTGGAATACATTGTAGCGCTCAAAACACAAGGACAGAAAGACGAGAATCAGACACCAGAGTGCGCTACTAACGACCGATTTTATCACGTGAAACGTCACTTATATACCATCCGTGTTTCTGATATCTCCCCATCACTAGCCAACCCGGTGCCTTTTTCAATACCTTATTTCGATAAACCCAAAAAATTATCCCCGAGCCAGATTTATTACAATACGGGAAATCGAATACCATTGAATTAAAGGGCAACTCCGCTTCATTTTCGATGCTGAAAAAACAACGCAGTTCTCTTTAGTGTCACCTAGAAAGACTATACGTCAAGTTTTACGACGTAATTAAGCCTAAAAGTTTGTTAAACTGGTAAACAAAGTTTGAGATGCCTCAAGTCTCCGAAATCTGCTAATTCTAGCGGTCGATGTGCGGCGCAGAGAACAGCGCAGTCAATACCGCGTGTTGGCGCAGCCAACACTGCGCCGCACGTCATAGTCTGGGACCGCTTTTTTTTCTTGTTTTTTATTTTATTGAGGCGCAGCCTACAGGCGGCGCCAGCAGCGTGCATACCGATGTCCACGTGATCCAAAACGCGCATGCGCTGATGAGCGTCTGAGCGAGCGCGCCGCGCTCGTCGTCGGGAAGACCGAACCTACTGCGTCTCGGAGCAACGTTTTCTGCTGCGATGCCTGGCATATTACGAGTGGTTTACTTAACTTCAACTACTAATTCTTCCAAAACATAACTTTAAAACAACTTGCCTTTTTCTGCGTCAAAACACTCTGCGGCCGCGGTAGTGCACACGTCGTTGGATAGCAGAGACCGTAGAGCAGACGACACGGCGCGACGACGCTTCCTCCGCCGATCCGTCCGTCCGCGCGGTCGGCGGGGTCGTGCGGTGACGTTCGTACCACGTGGGTTGTCCCAGACTATGACGACGCGGCACCAATGTTGCCAGGCGCGGGCGCAGTTTCGGTTTCGGTTCGTGATCAGGAGTAAAGAAGGATTACGAGAATTATATTTCCTTTTTTGAGAAACAAACGACGTCGAGCCGTTTATTAGTATACCTTAATGTATAATCACCAAAAACCCCGAAATTCCTGGAATTGAGCGGAGTTGTCCTTTAAGGCACCCTCGAATAAGAAAAACCTTAGCTTTAAGAAACTTTATTCTGGCACCAACTCCTAAAAGAAGCCATCTTTACTTTCTTCGGAAACACACCCCCCTCTCGTAGCCTTCTGTTATCGACTCCAGAGAGTTTTCCAAGTATTGGGCATTCCCTGTGCTTAAAGAGACCCTCGTTTCATTTTCTTACAACGTACGGCAAGCCTCGAGGAGCACCAAGGTTTTGTCAACACCAAAAATTTACACCCAAAAACAACCAATCTGCAGGAAAAAGTTAACCACAAAAAAGCACCCCTGAATTCTAAAAAGAAAAAATCTCTGAAAACACAAAACCCTAACATGACTAGGTTTCCATGTTTTCGGATCAATAAAGAAGAAAAAAAAAAAAAAAACACTAGCCGGTAAAATCTTGAGTCAATTTAAATTTTTCCAAAAAATCTCAAAAACTTCAATTTGGAATAACAAAAAAAAAAAAAGGCTGTCCATTTTGCCTAAGTTTAGTCGGAGAACAGGGTTAGTGGTCCTAAGGTAGGGCTCATGGTGCGGAGCTTATTAAATCTGTCGACATTTGTCTTGCCGACGGGCGCCACTGGATGCGCAAGTAGCTGCAACTCCCGCTGCACAAGAGCTCTCACAGCCGAGGCGTGACTGAACGTGGGAGGTTCGAGCTTCTGTTGTCTAACGATACAGAAAACACATCTTGGGAAGGGGTAGAACTCATCTGCCTGCTGGAGGTGCAGCGAGATGCCGGAAAAGACAGAACAGTGTCTGGCTAGGGAAGCGAGGGGGGCTCGTTCTGCTGCCACCCATCAGGAAGCGGGGTTGGTCTCCACTGAATCTGTCGAATAGGACCCTCGTAGCATTGAAATGCGATTTGACCTTTTTCCATGCTCCTTGTTATTTGTAATGTCATAATACTGTAATGACCACAGGGTGATGTAGACAAGCACATGACTGTTCACACACCCCTAGATTCTTTACAAGAAATTCCAGGCACCAGAGCTCATTCTGTGCCACAAAATTAAGATCCAAAGTGTTAATCAGTAATGCTTCACCAAGAAAGTATCAGGCGTAGAAAAAATAGTGAGCAGCAGCAGAGGGTTTACTTGACGTTTCGAGCAGGCTCTGCTCGAAACGTCGAGTAAAGCCTCTGTTGCTGCTCACTATTTTTTCTACATCAAATTCAAAATTAAATCACCCGATTCTTCGTCATGCTACCAGGAATCTGCTGCACATAGAGACTGCAGGTTAAAGCAATAAATGCAACAACTCGCATAATCACTTTGCTACGAGGGCACAAACGTACCGCTAGTGACACATTTCTTGCCAGTGGGGCCTTTCTCCACTGGCAAATATTCCAATTTCCCACTACACAGTGGCAATAGGCTTGCTGCTGGGGCTAACCCAGCATAACGCAGCACATGTGAATCGTCCAGATGACCGGCCCTTAAACACTACACTACCATCAAATTAAAGGGGCAGGGAAAACTGGAGTTGTCGGAAGGAATATGTTGCCATCAAATCAACAAACTACAATGGCACACTGCATTTGGTGGCCCGTAAACAAGCTTCACTTTCAAATCCATCAGCTTGGGCTCTTTGTGCCTCTCTGCATGATGCAATTTTTTCACCATTCACATTGCATTGTTGTAGGCAAGGGCACCGGTAAAATTTCTAAAAATACTGAATTCTATCACCAAAGAAAAAAGCTTGAGGTTCAGCTTTTGTGAGTGTGAAAGCATGCAAGCCGCTCGTCCACTCTTTTTGTCGTCTGCTGCATACTAGAGCGCGCTTCGGGATCTCAGAGGCCATGGCGCAGCGGCCAATGAAAGCCCCGTCGACGCGCACGACCCAATGGAACCGAGGGCGATCGCAGAAACTAGGAGCCGTTTTTGTGCTTCAAACTGATGACGTCAGCTCACTCCATAAGACCAGTTAATGCTTTCGCATTAAAAAGTATAAAAAAAATGTGCACCAGAAGTGCGGAACTCTCGCAGAATAGCCCGGGATGTCGTCCTCGCAATCGAACGATGGAGTCCCGTGTGCCGTTCACGTGGCTACGGCGGCAGCACGAAACTTGAGCTGTCGTTGGACGAAAATTGCGAGCCGTGGTTCCATTTCTTATGGACAGTGCATGAGGACACAGGAGTTCAAGTGTCTCTGAATTCAGTAGGGAAGCACATTTCTTCTCGGTAAAACATTTTGTTGAAGCAAAGCAGCATTCAAAAAGTGCTTTCCTGTAAAGGGACTTTAGATGGACTACTTATGCGAGTTATTCGTGAGGAATTGAAAAAAGCTGCTTCTCTCAGAAATTTCCCAAAGGCGTTCTCTAGTCGGTGACAGGAACACTGGCACCCCTAAAGAACTTTTTTTTTGCCAGGCCATCTATTATGGCGTCAGAAGTCTACCCAATCAATGTTTTGCTACAGCATCACATATATTTTTAATAAAGTAAAAAAATGCAACTGCTCAAAACCGAAACTGGGCTGGGGAGGAAGAAGAAATATAGAGGAGAAGAAAGTTATTAAAAAACACATGGCTGTACAATTTTTTTTTTTTTTGTTTTTCAGTCAAGGTATTTGCAGCATATTAGAAGTCACAAAAAATGGGTACAATATTTTCTGTCTATTTTTAATATTCAGTGTGTGCCTTCGATGACCTACGACTTTAATTATCTTTGGTGGTTGTGTCTAAACAATAGAAAATGGCCCATGACCACGGAGAAAAGAGTGAGGGTGACTCAAACTGGCCAGTTCTCGACTGGTGGTTTTTAGGCGGAAAGAAAACTAATTTTGAGCTGCAAATTCTGTTCTGGGTAGTTGGGCTCTCACATGTCATGTACAAATAAAAATCTTTGCGAGCTTAAATACCCTTATCACACACTACAGCGCATTACTGCAAAAGTACACTCCCTCCTTAGACACGAAAAAGAAAGGAAAATTAAACGAACTGCACTGTTCATTTGAGTTTCCTTTCGTGTGTAAGGAGTGAGCATACTTTTGCAGTAGTGCGCTGTAGTGTGTGTTAATATGAGCAACAAACTCGCCCAAACTGGTAGGCTAAATACTTTGACAGTGTCCCTATAAGCACCCGTCAGATGCTGCACCTCCAGTATGCACCCATTGCCTTCTGCCAAGCTCTGGCTCTGTGTGCTACGAACTGCTATCAAAGGGAGGAAGCTCGCACTTGAGACAGAGTATCTACTCAATTCTTAGCCTGACCCCGACTTCACCCGCATAGCATTTAAAGACCTCATTGTGCTCCTTTTGCGGGCACAGTAAGAAGGCCGTCACAGTGTCAGGATGTCGAGCGATGGTGTCACCAGACGTCGGGACGCACTGCGACACCATGCCGCGACTCCAGTGACGTGACATCATGGCATCACACGACGTCGGAAAACCTACATATGCTACGCATTTAAAGCGACTTGAGCACGATGTCAGTGTCGCCCGAGACGCCATTGAGGCCACATTTGAGGACGCAAAAACCCCGACAGCTATATCTTTTAAAAGCTAAGAGTTTAAAAATCTTTGATGCTGTAGTGATCTATGCTGCCGTGGGATTACAGGGATACTGGAATTCAATTCTAGCGCCAATTTCATTGTCTACATGTCAACCCCTTTCTGGCCATACCATGGCAACACCAATTTTTTTTTTTAAGCCGCTTTGCAAACGGTGGCAGGCCACATGCGCGCGAGCCCCGTCGAATTTCTCTTCCGGCCTCCCCTGCAGGGAGCGGGGACTAGAACGGCCAGGTTGACAACGCCAAGTGACGGAGCCCACAGCCAGGCCAGCCCACAAGCAGCTTTGGCTGTCCTGGCCCAGCTGACGTCGGGTCCCCCACAAAGCACTCTCCGGTGACCGACCTTAGACCGCTCGCTGGAATCGGCCCTTTGCAACCAAAAATATAGCCATCCATTCAAAATACAAGCGCGCGACTGTCATAAGCAGGTAGTACAGTTAGTTGATCATGTTTAACTTGTGAACGCGAGAGGTATATCAGTATCTCTTTCAACCACAGTTCCATTTGCTATAATCAGGGACGGGCTAAAGCAAAAAATTCAATACAAGTGTCACCTCCAGTGCGAGCCTTCTGTATTCTGACAACACTTTGTCACGCATTCAGCCAGAGTGTGACAGAGGCAAAGTGTGCGTGCTGGAGCTTCTACCGAATCGTAACGAAAAGATGAAAGACCAGCAGTTGCGGAACACTGGACAAGCACTGTCCCGCGCTCTTCTACTACCTGGTCCTTGTCTTTTGCACCATTTTTCCGTCACGTGTAACCAACTAGCCTGCCGATCGATTTTAATTCGGCGACCACATTCCGATCGACGGCCCACTCAGAAGGGACCACGTACCGTTTCGCACCGTATGCAGGGTGAACTCGAAGCCCGCCTTGGTGGCCGTGACCCAGCGGTGTCTCCCCGCCAGCTGGTGAGAGCCCACCCGGATGGTGCGGCACCCGAAAACCATGCTCTCCACCGCCTCGCCCGGGCCCTCAGGGTTGGCAGAAGGGGCCGCGCCGCCGGTCGCACAGGGAGCGGACGCCGGCTGCAACTGCGACCTCAGCACCACCAGCGACGGACTGGCGGGAGTCACAAACCCCTGTCGTGGGAAGCGGTATTGTTTGGTCTATTACTTGGGTGTCCCGCGTCCCATTCTGTGTCAGTCCCCAGGTGGCGACAACAGTCCCCAAGTGGCGACAAGTCCCCAAGTGGCGACAAGTGTCACGAAAGCCAGAGTGCTGTCGCAATCCCCGTGAGTGGTCGTACAAGTTCCTGCGAAAAGTAAACACAAGGTTCGCTGTCGTCGTGCCAACTGCTGAATTTTCCGTGGACCGTAGAGCTGGAGTGACCTGCAGCAGAACTCTGCCACAACAGCTGCTGCCACACGGTCAGGATCGCGGCCGGCGCCACCCTTCCACGACATTAACCGGTGACTGCATCCTTAACGTCCCCATCAATCTCAGCATCGTCGGCTACAGTGAGCTCGTTGACAATACCGAATATGCACGGTGGTTCAAAGGCGACGACATACTTGTCAACCAGCAGGTATTCCGAGCAGGAGAGGTGGGCTCCCACTTTCTTCATTGCACCCTCCATTTCTTGCGCATCTTTGGAACCTTCCTTTGCGTTGCCCTCAGCTAGCGCTCATCCTGGCCCTGCGTAGTTGAACCTGCACTTGCGGAAGCAATGCTGTACAGCAGTGATCAAGATGGTGTCCCACGCTGATGCGAGGATGTGCGTAGCGTCCAGGATGGTGAGCTTGTAAAGCCTTGTTCTACCGTAGCAAGCGATCGCCAAACAATTCACTTCCTGTACAAGTGTTTGACGTTTATTATTCCCGCGCCAAGCAGAAGGCGCTGCATATCCGGCAAATGGGATCTTGGTCAACGCGCGCTAGCCAATGGGATTGAAGTGGTGTAAAAGGTGCCGTGGCTAACTGGCGAATGGGAGCTGGCTCGACTCGGAGAAGGAGTTAAGAGCTGCCAGGCGTGGTTTCAAAGCCAATGATGTCGGCTCGCTCAATGAGACCCCCAGTTAATGCTTTCGCATTAAAAACGGCAGGCGTCATCGACGTTAAAAACGTCCCGGGAAAGTAGTTGACGACGATCGAAGGCAGCGAAGACGCTCTTCAACACAAACTGATCAATGCTGGAAGCCTCACCGCTTACTGCGCAGTACGAAATTCTGTGGCGCTTCCTGAAGCGGTCGATCCACTTGCTGGATAACACGAAGTCCGTGACATCCAGAAGTTCCGAAGTATTTTGTGCCATCTCCCGCAGGATGCTTTCGTCGATGTTGACGCACGGTGCCCAGGCCGGGCTTGTTGAAACCAGACTAGCAGAGCCAACTCTGTGTGCTTCGCCGTCCGAGCTGGCTCGGAGCCCTGGTGGAACGCTTGGGTCTCTACATCCTTTCCTTGAGCAACGATGCTGTTCGTAACCGACGGTGCAATCCCAAGGTTCCTCGCAATGACCGTTCTCTTTCGACTGGGACTGCAATGAACCACCCGGAGAATGCCCAGCTACTGGATAAACTCGCCACCTTTCTTTTCCGCAACGCCAACAGGAGCCAACTTAAGCAAAAGAAACTGGAGGAGCAGAGAAGCAAGACCACGGACTGATGCACCTGTGGGGTGCAGCGTAAAAGTGTGTGTGCACTGAGCGCGTTGAAAGAGATGAACGGCGGTTCTGAAAAGGCCCCAAGGCTTAGTGTAGGGCCACAGGACAGCGTATCCCGGGAAAGCGAGGGTGTGAATCAAAAGGAGTCACTTCAGGAAACTTGTCCGTCCCCGGGGAAAAGAAAAAAACCAATTGGCTTTGGACTGCGCATAACAGCGGATGAGGCGGTAGCACTGCTGTGCGGGGAGATGCGCGCGGAGTCAGCGAGGAAACACAGAAGCATTTCTTTTATTGTGCTGGCGTGTTTCCTTCAAAGTCGTTCTGCCGAAAGGACATTTTCCTTTTCCACGAGGCAAGCACTCACCTGGGGTATGGCAATCCGAAAAATGCGACTGACATCTTGGATTTTCATTTGACAAGCAAGTCCTCTTTGTACTCACTGTGTTGTAAGATGTCAGATAGACTCGAAAATTATGTTTGAAAATGCCGATTGGTTCGAATGAATTAAATTATTAACAAGCATTGCTGTCTTTAAATTATTTTTTTTTAGGTGTGTTGTGCTTTTGAAAGGGGCGTGTTGAGTGGTTGGGTGACCTTGTGGTTGTGAGTATATAAGGATGTGGGACTAAATAAATCTTTTAGCTGCGTTTGACACGTTCTCTTCTTCACTTGTCTCTGTCCCTTCTACTTTTAAGTTTCTGTTTCTACCCCAGTCTCGGGTTAAGTTCCATCATGAGAAAATATGTTCGCTGAACGTCAACTAGCTCTGTTATGCCCTACCACAGTGGAAGCAATGGCTGCATACGGCTGGCAGTCGGTCGATGTAAGCCAACGCTCCTCCGCGCTGCCTTCCTCAACGGCGCTTGCGACTTCGCAGTGCGGACGGTGCACTTTGTCGCGGCGCCAAAACACAGTGCGCACAGCTGACGCGGTGCCACTTTTGCAGCGCGCGTCAGTGGTATTTGAACGCACGAAGCGGAAAGACAAACGTACTAAGCAGGATATCAATACGTGTGTGCTTATGGGAGCTCGACAAGACCCAGGGTTTAACATAAAAGTTGGAAAAACGTAAAAACCGGGAACGTATCACCGAAGTTCTACTGTATTTATAGGAACAAACGCATCATTTCCAGCATGCCCACCCTTGCTCTAAAAATAAGAGTTACTCATCAATCGAAGCAAAGAAGGCTCACCGACACACTTATCGGCACCCCTCGTTTTGATTACATAGGCTTCATGCACTTCCCTGGTTGTTTTCTTGCTGTGTCGCGCAAGAGTTGGGGTATCTGGAGAAACAGGAGGGCACACCCATTGGTTGCAATGGCCTTGAGGCTGACTGCTTCGAGGAGGCTGCGTGCTCTCTCACAGTCATTCACGCAAGGTCAGGTTTGGCACACGAAGTAGCGCCCGCAGGAGGGTGTCGTACCCGACGCTGGTTTTACGCTTGAAGAACTTGTTCCCGTGTTTGTTACACTCGTCACCCTCCGGAGCACTGGCTTCTTCGCACGAGGCAAAGAGCTTCTTAGCTTCTACAGCCGGAACGTTGTAGTGCTTGACAACACTTTCGAGTTGTGAGAGATGAGTGAATGTAAGGAACGACGGCAGGTCTTATTTTCCGGCATTCCCCACCTTTCTCCCAGTGCCTCCAAATTTCTTTTTTGGGCTCTCTGCAGTTGCAACCAAGGGCTTCTACAAAAAAAAAAAAGCTCACTCACGAGCCCAGCAACCTGACGGAGGGAACTCCGATAAAAAAGTGTTGCCTCTATGCATGCCTAGAAGCAAAAGCAACATTAGCACCAAGACAGCAAGTGTACATTTGTCTAATATGTATACACTTAAAACTCCATATTGCAAAAAGCAATTTAACAAAACTTCCGCTGGTCATAGTACGAGAAACTAGAAACAATTACCAAACTGCACAGAGCTGCCAAAACATATCTCACCTGCAAAGGCACCATCAAAGGTGGGCGGAAAAGTGGGGGCACCTAGAAGACAGAAAGGATGTTCCGATTTTTGCAGAGTTGAAGACAATTTCGCACAATGCGATATTAACTATGAAATTCCCGAGTGGAGGAAACTACACAAAGCTGCCAAATTGAAAAGAGTTGCCAAACAAAATCTTACCTGCGGGGATAACCTCATGGGCGAGCAGGGAGTTGAGGGCAGCTGAAAAACGGCAAGTACACATTCATATTTTATATTTATCTAATGCCTTTTGGGGCTGCTACAGGAGAGAAAAGATGCCACGCTTTTTGGATTATAGGCTATAAATGTCTAAAAGTTGAAATTTTATGTGGTGGGGACTACCCACAAGGGCAGACTACCCCTTATATGCCACTTTCGCTGCTACTAGTGCGCACTTGAATGAAGTGGACGCTTCTGCAGAATACAAACATTGTTCTCGATCGTTCATTATGATGCAATGGATTTTGTAAGCCGCAGAGTATGTAAATGTTGACTTGTGAGCTCAAGCAGGCATTTATCCAGGTGTGCTACGTATGAGAGAATGAAATTTGCTTTTGCTGACTGGGCTCTAGTCCAGAAAATACGGCACACAAACTCAACACGAAGCCAGTGAAATTTCCAACAAGCTACATAGTAAGCAAAAAACAAACTGCAGTGAAGGTACAGAGAAAAAAAAACACTTTTTAAAGGTCGCAGTTCTTTCCAAACGTGGCACAAAAATGAAAGCGACCCGAGAAATACAACCTACACCTTAAACGTGAAGAACACAACATTTGCTAAAAATTTCGGTTGTCAGTCCGCTTTCCTAAAGCAGTTTGAGTGGAAAAGAAAGTAGTATTTAGCAGCAACCATTAAAAGCAACTAAAAAGAGCTCAAGAAGACCCCCATCCTTTTTTAAAAAGCTTTTATTGAAGACTGTCAGACACCTGTGCAATCAAAGATCTTTTAAGTGCACTCTGGCTGCGCTCTCACCAGATGCCCAAGTGTCAGCCAAGGTAAAAAGCTCGTGCCGGACTGTTTAAAGACAGGGCGTTTCAATCAGGGCAGGGAATCCAGGGCCCGCGAGGCCGTTTCATGCAGACTCAAGGACCACATTTCCCAACTCGTCAACCGGCCTCCTTCTCGTCGGCTTCCTGGCAAAACGGCCAGCCCCCAAGAAAGGTTGCCGACCCCAGTTTTAGGGCTTCACAAACTCCTTTTTAGAAAAGCCGCCAAATCTAAGCAAACACGGTCCATGCAGGTGGCCAGGGGTACACAACGCGGGGCGTCTCGGCCAATCAACTAAAATTTGCTACATCAACTGTTTAATTGGTGAAGACGTGGTACCAGTTAGAAACTCGCTGAATGGCATCAAAAGCCATTAGTAAATTTTAGAAAGACTCGGAGCGCCTGGGAAGCGCGCCGGCACGCGCCAAGGCTCACAAAACGGACACAAGGCCGGTGGTGCAGGAACGTGCCCGCGCGGTTTTTCCGCCTCTCGTCGCCTACGTTTTTGCGGCACCAGATCGTGCCACTTGCGCGAATGAAAACTCCAGTGCACTACCGTACTTCGCACATGCTCAGTCTTTCTACGACTTTCTGGTCTAGTGGTTTTTGATGATGATCAACAAGTTCCTAATTGAAACCGTACATTTATTATCACTATTTAAAGATTTAATTGGCAAACTTGACATCATTATTCCGTTCACCGTGACGATTCGTACCCTCTATTGCGTGGCCCTGGCCGTATAGCTCACCCACGCAGACCGCACCAGAGTAGCTTTCGCAGCTTTTTTAGAATGGACGTGTAAAGCTAAAATGCTTCGTGACAGTCAGGTTCGAACTTGAGATGCGAAAGAAACCCAGGCCACTGAAAACAAAGCAAAACCAAGAAAGGCTCGATTCTTCCGACCGGGGAGCACAGAATGACTCCCGCACAAACCACATCCCGCTTGTTTTTTTTATTATATTTATTATCTATTTTTATTCATTCATTTTAAATTGTTCTAAATATTGCATTATTTTTTTATCGTTTTGTTTTTGTTACCCGTTTTTATTTGTCTGAGATAGTATTTTCACCCAAAAACCTGCCGCTCTCCACAGCATGTTTGCATTTGAATAAGAATCGTTCTTCCCTCCGGACCGGGGCTCAAGCTTTAAATATTACCTTGATATGAACTCTGACCGTCCGTAATGCCCCCGACGTGTCACTTGTTTGCAGAAAACGCCCCGCAAAATACATTCCACAATGAAAAAATATAGCAGTCCTGCATTAACCCACAGCACAGATTCTCTTTAGACCTTTGCAATGATCACCTTCTGGGTGCCACCATTTTTGTCTACTGGGCTGTGGAATACGTTCTGGGCATGTGCGGCAGCTCTCTTCCACGAAATACGAGACGCCGCGCACGCGTCCACATCCCAGTGACAGCATTTTTCGCCTGGGTGACAAGCGCTAAAAGGCCTACACGGTCGTGGTAATATGTGCGACACGTCACGGCAAGGTCGTCGGGCATCGTTTACGTGCTCCACAGGGTCTCGACATGCTTCGCGGCGGAGTCTCGATTGGTTTCGTTTTTGCGACGTCTCACCGTCGTACCTGCGACGAATGGCGAGACCCGTCGCCGTTGGCGCGTCTTTTGGCGTCCCACTATGAGTGACGCAAGCACGCGGCAATGCTGAGACGTCTGCCGCTTTGCACCGTTCTCGTCAAGCTTCGGTGGATGCGCCGCTTCGGGCGGCTCGGCAATCCACAGACGACGACGTCGACCTTTTTGTTCCCAACGTGTTTGTTTCTTTTTATTCTGGAGCATGTCTCCCTGCACAAACTTTTGGCATCGACGGCAATAAGATGGCGTTTCGTCATTGGCCATCTCTTTCTATTTTTCCGGAGAGCGCCTGCCGTCGGCAACGAGTGCTACAAAAGTCGGCCTCGCCCTAAACGAAAGGACCCGGGACCAAATCCCGCGGGCACCAGGTGATCATGTTCTAGGATTTTGCAACGTCGACGACGGATGCCCTGTGCTCTACGTCGAGGACAACTACAACTACGACGGACTTCATTTCAGGCGGGGGGAAGAGCCTGGAACTATGTTTGATTAACTCCTTTTGTAATGAGCCGCCGCAGACCGTCACCGCGTGAACAGTTGGGCCAGGTAGGTTAACACGCGCAACGAAATATCCCTATACAGCGTGCAATTCGCATAACGAGTGTCAATGAAACGTTAGTGTCGACTGATTGTGTGTCCATGAAACGTGTATCCACGAAAAGTTGTCTGCGAAACATGTTTCCACCAAACGTGCTTCGACAAAACGATGGGGACCCCATAACAGCCCTCACTGAAAGACATAGCCAACATCACTAGATACTGTTAGTTGGCAAATTCCCATAGAAGCCTGTCAGGAGAAGCTCAACCACCTTAAAACGTTTGTCTCCAGCTGATGCAAGCAGCATCTTTGTCACGGGCTATGGCTGCCCTCTGGACTCTAGCCGTGAAGACACCCCACGGCGTACAAAAGCTGCGGCGCTTTAATCGAGTGACCGTTGGAAATAGAAGGTGTCAGAGTAGGAGTGTTTCAACCGAAGGAACTCATCGTATTGCTCCCGGCTGAAGAAACAAATAAGGCAACAGTAGAAAGTAAGAATGCAAATGAGCTAATGTAAATTTATCATAATTATCAAGAACCCCCAGACTGAGGCAAGAGAAGGACAGCCAAACAGTCTCCAGTACAGCTAAATTGCATGACATCTGAACACACACAAAAAAAGTTGTAGTCTACCGTAAAGTTCCTAGAGAATGCCCGCCCCCGAGAGATCGCCCATCCCGTTTTCTCGCCAAATATCTGCAACATAAAAATACCGAAACATCGCCCGCTCCCCGATTCCCGTCAGACGTCACGCAATGTCCGAACTGCATCAACCGCGCAATTTGCTGTACCGGCAAATCTGACAAGCAAGTTCATAGCGGGTTCCCGCGTTTCTGTCCGCGATCTGTGCATGCGATATCGGCTCCCGTAACACACGAGTTGTTCCCACGAGTTTGTTGCACTGTGAAATGCGAATCTGCTGCTTCCGCAATCTGTGGTATCCGTTCACGTGACATAAAGTTTTTAGTGGATTGCCGCGTTTCTGTCCGCGATCTGCTTGCGCGATCTCGAGAGTTGATCCCGCGTGTATATTGCATCGTAAAATATGATTCTGCTGCATTCGCGATCTGCGGTATTTGTTCCCGTAACATACGAGTTTGTAGCCGATTCCTGCCTTTTTGTTCGCGATCTGCGGGCGCGGCATCGGTTCCCGTGACGGACAAGCTTGTAGCGGGTTCCCGCGTGTTCATTGCATCATAAAACTTGTATCTGCTGCGTCCGCGATTTGCAGTATTCGTTCCCGTAAGATACAAGTTCTCAGGGGATTTCCGCGGATCCTTAGCACCGTGAAACACGAATCTGCTGCGTCCGCAACCTGCAGTATCCTTTCCCGTGACACAGGAGTTTGTAGCGAATTCCCGCGTGTTTATCGCATCGTGAGACGGAAATTTGCGGTGTCCGCGATCTGCCGTATCAGTTCCGGCATCCCGTGGTTTTTAGCTGGTTGTGGATCAAGTTTTGCTGTGGCGTCCCCAAAGATAGCCCACCCCATGTTTCTCACCATTTATCTCTTCATTTTGGGCGGGCGCTCTTTCGGAACTTTACGGTAATCATACTTTCGAGTGTCTTTCCCGTCTTTTGTGTTTGGATCTCACTTAGAGCGAGGGTCTATTAATCCTGAATCTTCATGTAACCCACGACAGTTGTTAACCTGTAAAGAAAGCAAATATGAAAACCCGAGTTTGATATCCTGCCTGGGGCTTCTTTATAATCCTGTGGGGTGGTATGGAGGTTACCGGGGGAGTCCCAGAGGCGGACATGGCGAGGATCTTGAGGGCCGACTTCTGGTCAATCTCCTTCAGCAGGCGGGCCGGGAAGATCCTCTGGAGGAAGTACTTCTGTTGGTTCGTCAGCGCTGGGTCTGGCAGGAATGCTATCCTCTGATACCGTTCGTCTGTACAAGAGATCCAGTTTGCATCATAAATTTCAGTTTCTGTTCTCCAGGCAGCAAGCCTCGTTTGCTCGACAGTGTAGAGATATGTCTCATCCGCCTACGTCCCTACTCGTACGGCCAGACAACCACTTTTTCAAATGCTCTGGTAGCAGCGCTGCAATGGCGACAAAACCCAAGGCCCGCGGAATTGTTGCAGCGACGTGGCCAGTCCTACAAACAAAGGCAGTCTTTAAAACCGTTTTAAACGTGCCATACCCGTTCCCCAGCTTGGCGAGTGGACACAGTGTGTTTAAAACTAGCCAAAGTTTCTGTCCCACATCTTCATGGTCAAGAGCCTTGTTTTTCGTGAAAGTGTGACGTAAATAAAGAAAGCATGTGCAGGAAAAAAAATATTTTGGCTCATTTAACAGCACGGATTTTAGGATAACAGCCGCTTAAATCCTGCTCTAACACTGCACACGTATGTGCCGTCAATCTTGAAATTGGGGACCAAGAAAGTCTGGGGAAGGCTCAAAGCTTTAAATCCTCAAAGCGTTCTCGCGAAACAAAAAAAGTGCCCAGAAAAAAAATCTCCTGGCTTAGACATTCTGTTTAACGGGGGGACATTACCCCCAAAAAAACAAAATTTCTGCAAAAAAAGTTGATTTTGAAAAATGTCATAGGAACCGTGCGCATCTAATTCAAGCCCCGACCCGGGCGCCCTTAGTGGCAAACGGGTCCATGGCATCGGGGAGCTTCTGCCAGTCGCTGCATTGGTTGTGCGTTGTAGCAGTTGTAGTGGGTTAGCGCTGTAATTTCTGAGATGGCTATTCCGCACCAAGAAAGCCGCAACAATTGCTGCGTGGTCGGCTGCAACAGTACGTGCAAGATCGCACACAGCACAAAGTATACTACATCGTCCCTTCGAAGCCGTACGAGGCGGAGCACTGCGCCACCTGGGTGAGACTTGTGCGTCCATACAGGTTAGTAGCACTTCTTACCTTCCAGTTCGCACTTTATTTAAGCTGCTGACGAATAATACAATTAATTTTTTTTTCTATTCTAGCGACGATGGAACAGCACCGACGGCAAACTCTAAAGTATGCAGCAAATGCTTCACCGGAATCGAGAAGCGGAATGCGGTCGCCCACCTAAGCCTACCCTTGAATGTTTCCATCAGCCTACAGTGGGAATCGCAGAACGGCACGGAAAAAATCGCCTAGTTATTGTCAAGCTGATTCATAAATAAACATACATAATTACAGTCCACTCAACGCCAACTACATTTTTTGTGGGTGCGCTTAATTTTGTTAGCGGAGTACGGCGCTCCGTGACATCCACTTGTCCGTCGAAACGGACCTCCTTCACGTCGTACACGCGGCCAGATTAAAGCTTTCTGGATTTGTAGCCGCCTTAAACCCCGTCGTAATCACCCCGGGAACACTGTCCGCTGTGCTGCTCATCGCCATTGCTTCCCACCGATGATTCTGCACCCGCTACCGAAGAAGCTTTCCGGATTCGTAATCGCCCACTGTCCTCAGTGGTGTTCGTTGCTATTACTTCTTGATGATTCTGCGCCAACGGCACTGGCTACCGAAGGAACTTTCCGAATTCGTAACTGCCTTAAATTCCTTCGTAATCACGACGGGGACACTGCCCGCCGTGCTGTTCGTCGCCATTGCTCCCCGATGTTCCTGCGGCGACTGCCGCTAGGTCGCAGCGAACAATAGGCGACCGCCGCGACACGGCCGGCTTGCTCGCTTCCTATATTTACATCCACCAACATCTAAAGAACATTCTCAGAAAGTTTCATTAGTTTACACCAGGGACGGGCAAAATACATGCAAATTTGTAGAGAAATACAAATACAAAATACTTCATAAAAAATGTCTTAGTTACAAATCTAATTACATTTTTAAAAAAGCATTTAAAGGGCAACTCCGCTCAATTCCGAAGATTTCGGGATAATGAGTGATTTCGAATTAAAAAGCCCTAGTAAAAGACACTACATCGTTTGCTTCGCGAAAAATGGGATATATAATTTTAAATCTAATTTTAAACACGAGCGGAAATCGGAACTTCGGCTCCGTCCGGCAACATTGGCCTCGGACCCGCCAAGTACATGGCCATCACAGGGTACGAGATGTCACGTGATCCTCGGCCCAATGATGGGCGGGATGGGGGCGGGCGTGCGGCAGGCGCGAGTGTCGTCTGCACCGCACTCTTCGCCACGTTTTGGTGTCTACGGCACTCGACGACGTCTGCACAACTGCGGCATAAGTCTGCGACTCTGCGCACGTGGTGTCCATGGTGTGGACGAAACTCCGAGAGGCAATAATCACAAACGGTGAGACGACGACGGTGGTTGTGACGCGGAAGACGGCGGCAACGGCGGGACCACGGCGGGCGGTTGGTCTGCTCCCAAGAAGCGCGCTGCGCAGGCGCGTACGCCAATCACGTGGACACCGCTGAGCGACGAGAGACAACGTTGCTGACGTCATGCGCTACGCTCGATCTCGAAGAAGTAAAAACAAGCAAAAGGGGGCCATGATGATGACGTTTAGCTCAATGTTGGCTCCGCCCATGCCGTAGCCTTGACTGCGCTGTTGGTTGCGCCTGAATTCGCCCGCTTGAGTCAGCCGATTTCGGCAACTTGGCGAGTTGCAAAGTTTGCCGGACCGTTTAAGAAACATTTAGATAGAACTGCGTCGTAATATTTTATGTGTGGTCGTCCTAGGCGATACTGAAGAGGACTGCATTGTTTTTTCAATACCAAAAATGAAGCGGAGTTGCCCTTTAAGTACAAGATACAAATACAACCAAATGTACTTGGTCTCCTCCAAATACATTCCTCAAAATTTCCGTCAGCGACTTTAGGACACCTGCAACGGGTTCATTTTAATTTTGCATCGCACACTCGGGAGGTAGTGTGCGAGGCTCTGGTAACGTAATAGAAATATAATCACAAAAAAATGTAATCAGCTCGGACGTAATAAGGGAAAAAATAGAGAGCTTCAAGCAGCTTTTTTTTGTCTATTACATTTTGGTATAGACCAACAAAAAACCGAGACGACCAAGACGCACAGCACTAGCTAGAGAATTGTTTATTGTTGCAACTCGCACCAGTTACGAAAATCTGGACGACCCGCGCATTTAGAATGTTCCAGGCAAAAATATGGATGGAAATCAGGCTGGAAAGCATGGCAAGAGAGAAAGAGAGAGATTTTGTGGGTTTATGGCGCAATAGGGAAAGCATGGCAAGTTGTCACAGGCACTAATGTAGCCAGTCTGCCTGTGAACATCAATTTCATCACTTGCCCTGGACTAGCAGCGTCATCACAAAGTCACTAAACGCTTGTGCTTGATTGAAAGACACTGCATTCGATGCAGAATGTAGTTTTCTTCCTGCTCTGGACAGTGACAATAAATTTGAGGGATGTATTTTCGCCCACAAAATTGTATTTAATTACAATTGTATTTGAAATACCCACGTTTGTAATTAAATACAAATGCAAAATACACAAAGTATTTGAAATACGTATTTCAAATACTTGTATTTGAAATACTGCCCATCCCTGGTTTACACTGCATAGTGTAAGTTTTATAAATTATTTTTGACCCACTGATTAAAAAAAAGGTAGAGGTTGAAGCACCTTGAACGCATTTTTCTATGTTCCACTTTTTGGCATAAATTTCACTGTAGGAAAACTATTGTTTTCCTATAACACAAAAGAGAATTATTCTTGGGTGGTTTTCCAGGATAGGATCATGTGAGGAACATGCCTGGTTGGTTAGTTTTTCTACTTTAACACTCTTTTATGCTAAAAAAACTTTTTTTTGTAAAAAAGTGCATACATGAAAAAAAAAATGTTAATATTCTTACGGAATTATACTTATCAAGAACAATGCAATACAGTGAAACCCGTTTACAACAAACCCACGTACTGCGAATTATTGTCGATATCGAACTCACGGAAAATTTCAATAAAAATGTGTGCAAAAGGTACTTTTTATAACGAACAACATATTGGCTATATCAAAGGCCCGGAAAGGCTGCCAAAAACGCACAAACAGTTGTAGCATGTCCCTTCTCCCGCCCAAAAAAGTGGGAAAGATAATTCCAAGAGCTCAAATTGCGAGCCAAATTGAGCAAAGAGAAGTGATCCAGAAGGGGCTAGAAATACCCTCTGCACACACGCACAGAAAAAACTTTATCCCAAAACGGTCGCACACAAAGAGATGCGATTCAAAAGGGGAAGCTAAAAGAACAAAATGCATGCATACAAAAAAAAATAAAAAAACAAAACCTTTAGCGCATTGTTACGAGGCGGAAGCGAAGAGATGAGAAAGAAAAAGAAGCTCGCGCCTTTCAACGAACGCATCGCCGAAGTTTGTTGTAAATGGTTTTTGCTGTATCAAATTACTAGCTATATCGATCGAACTGATCATAGCATTTCCTTCCGTTTGTTATAAACGGGTTCGGCTGTATAGTAAAATAACTAGCTGGATATGTGCTATTGGTCTTCCTAAGACTATATTAAACGTGCGAGTCACAAATTTTTATTTTATTTAAAATTGACGTTGTTTTTAAGCAAACAGACCGACTCGCATATTGTAACATCCGTAACAACCTTCGGAATTGACATAGGACAATGAAATTTGGCAGGGGTGGTCTTGCCATTCATATAAACTTTTACTGCAAATATGACTGAAACCAAGCAACCAAGCAAAGAAGTCGACTTTTTTGATTGGTGCCCCCCTTAATGCGAGAGTGGTGCGACAGCGCTCGGTGGGGTTTTTGGAAGTCTCTTTCTACTGGAACTTAGTCGAGACATTTCCTTGCTAAATACAGCGGAAAAACTGTGACTTCCCATCGCGTGAGAGGTACTGAGGCGCCGACACATTGCACAACCCCGGGACGTCAGGTGGCGAGACCCAAACGAGCAAAAGAGGTAGTCCCCGTTAATCCCTCTAAAAACTTGTCCAGAGAAAGACGGAAGCGAGCAGTGACCGGCAAAGGGTCCGTCGAAGCAAAGCTCGTGCCCCGCCGGCGAGAAACTTGCCCGTGCTGCCGGGGTCAAAGTAGTGCGGCACGTTGTGCGACGTGCCCAGCTTCTCTCTGAGCGAGCATGCACACTCGGGGGTGGTGGTCACGTAGAGCACGGCCATGTCGCACGACAGGTGGCCCAGCACCTCCGTCACGTCCGCCACGCCCAGGCTGAGGCTCACTTCCCTCCACTCTGCACAGGGTTGCAAGACAGGGGACACTTCGGGACCGACGAAAGCCCACCAAAGGATGAGCCCAATTGTGGTTATCTGTTAGCTGTTATGTGCCTCTAGGCTTCAGCAGGCACTATCCCGGTTCTAGGAGGGAATTGCACCCAAATCATTCTCCACCAAACGAGTCTCTAGATACTTTTACAAGCATATTTTGAACGTCAACTCTGAACTTTCATTTACTCGTCGTTACCGTATCGTTTTCCTATTTGTGCGTCGTGCACATTCTACGAATGACCTCCTACGAAGATTAGAGTTTCTGAGAATAATTAAGTATTATTATCATATCTTTCTCGCCAGCTTAGAAACTGTATAATCGACGAGGGTTTAAGGATCCAGCAGATGCTCCGCTCTCACTGCCTCGCACCAAGCTTTGGCTGCACATGACGGAGCACCTCCCGGTCGAACTGCGGTCGCCGACCACAGTGCGACCGGCAGAGCGGAGATGTCGACGACCGAGAGGTTCGACAATGATGGCCCTAATGCTTCGAAATGAATAACTCAGCTTGCGTAACTTTATTACAATGCCAAGTAATGGTGTCCGCGCCAAGGAAAATAAGGCCTCGCAGAAACTATACTTGACAGCCATAACGGCCCACTGCCAAAGCTGTAAAATGAGTGCGCAATGGCCAACATGTCCAGTTTGTTAGGTGTTAGTGAAAGAACACACAAACGGTACAAACTATGTCAAACTTTAATGGATCACGATGAGGCTAAGAAAGATTGTGCACCAACTTGAGAAATGCCGGACAAGTCTCGGGAAATGCTCATTCCCAAAAACGCCCCCTCCATTTTATGAATTTGCAATGCACCACCTGCGTTCCCCGTAGCGAGTGCAGTGCTTTGACGAGGAATATGACGCCCTGCGTGCAAGTTCACCAATATCTGGCGCCTGGAAAGCATCGCCGACTGGCGCATTTGACACGTCCTCAATCACGGTCCTCCCATTTCTGCCTAATGACATCATAGAAGTGCCACGCTATTGCTCGTTGCAATCCTGGCAGCGGTGCAATGGCAGAGGTGGAATCGGCAGACCCCCGTTTTGCTGCGGGTCGCTCTGCAGCTTCACAGTGTGTGGAAGCTCAAGCAGCCAGGAACTGGGATGCCAGGACAATGGCAAAGCTCGCATTTGCTCCTATTCTTTGACGGGACTCGTTCAACCAACTGCCGAGATTGTGACCTCCAACGACGTGACATTGCCATTTTGAGAACATGTTTTCGATGCGCCACAGTTAATTCGCATCAAGCTCGTGCACAAAGTTGAAGGAGACGAGAAGCGCGAGATTCCGCCGTCTCGTCGCAACGGACCGACCTTGCCGGCCTGTTTCGCGACGCTGCCGCCGTGCATCTTGGGAACTTTGGCGGAGCGTCTGCACGAGCGGCCTCGTGCTGCCTCCCACGGACTGAGGTCGTACGCCCGGTGGGGTCCCGCGGTCTACGGCTGCAACCGGGACGAGAGCCGGCCTCGAAAGCTCCGCGAAAGACCGCTCACCACTGTACACCGTGCGCATGGGAAACTCGAAGCCCGCCCCGGTGACCGTCACCCAGTAGCGTCCCGCCGCCGACTTGTGGGAGCCCACCCAGATGCTGCTGCACCTGAAGCGCATGTGGTCCGGCCGCCCACCCGGGGGTGAACCCGCCTCGACGGGGGGGGCCACCACGTCGCCCGCCCAGGGAAGAGGAGACGGCGGCGACTGCACCAACACCACCGTCGGTCTGTCGGGATCTGAAGACTCCTGTCGGAAGAAGCTGCGCTTCAGAGCCAAAGCAAGCAACGGCGGTTGCATAGAAACGTGCTTCTCCTTTGAGAACCAGTAACACATAGTAGACCCCTTTCGAAAGTCATGCGTTGATTGCTAGAAGGTCTGAACCTCCGCACAATAGCTGAACGAACGACAGCGTGGAACGTACCGGTTTAAAATTACGTACGACGGCAATAAGGTGAACCACGGGACGCCACGATGCGTCATTGTGGTCATGTGACTGGTGCCACTGCCGGTCATATGACTAACGTGTGCCGGGCCACGCCGATCTACTCGGCGTCTAAGTGCGACGTTGTAGGGTCGCCCGACGTCTCCATTATGTTGCACGAGTCATGGTCCAAAGTCGCGGTGTCGCACGATGTCGTCGTCAACAGAGCCAGTAACATTGGGCGTCAAGTTGCAGTGTAGCACAACACCATGCGAGGTTATCACACTGTGGGACGTGGGGTTGTGCGACGTCACAATGTCACCAGACGTTGCAGCATCACATGGCACTGTACCAGATGATGTGGTGTTATGTGAAACCACCACTCGACACTGTAATGTCACATGACATCACACCGTCATGTGATCTTAGGAGGTCAAGCGTGGATGCTACGGGGATGTTTCACAGGGTCACGTCACATGACATCCACTGTCGAATGATGTTAGGAGGTCAAGCGTGGTACAGCACTAATCAGTCTGCATCATACGGGATGTTTCTGTGGTAGATCAAAAGAGCGCTCAAATTTTTAAATGAAGTCCAACAATTCATAACATTGCTTGTTTGTCCGAACCTCAATAGCTAAATTTAGCAGCAAAACTGCTCCACCAAATTAAGCGGAAACTGCTTAGAAGGAAAGCCTGAATCGGTATATAACTGACACAGTGTCGCATCGTACATAACACCGTGTCACAGAATGCAATGTCGCGTGACGTCATGCAGCGTTTTATCACACCACGTGACACAAGTGGTGCCATGATCGGTGGAAACCCGGAGTGAGGAGGGGAACACATGTGCCGGAGAAAGGGGCGCTTTGACTCCGTGCCGAAATTCCCGAAGCAATGCACCAACAAAGGCAAGAAGAAGGTGCAAGGGAAGGAGAGCCAGAGATTGCGTGCACCTGAGCCAGGATCCTCACTCACCAGGAGACGGCGCACCTCCTCGGAGAGAGCCACGCTGCCCCCTTGGCTTTCAGTGCCCACATGGTGGTTTATCACCACCATGGGTGCCTCCTCGTGGCACTCCAAGTCCATGCCTGCCGAGATGGTCAGGAACTCTGCCCATTCACATGCACATTGTTAGTCGGACACCGAGCACCTTGGGGCACCAGGCTCGTCGATGGGGGTGGCATTTACTGGACGAAAAAAGTACATTTTCAAGCATCATGGGCCTAACCGACAAAGGGCACCTGGCACGCCATGGCGACTAATTCACCCGGGGACTTTCCGACAGGCAACCAGAAAGCTCAGTAGCGCCTTTTCCGTAAAGAGTATTCGCTAGATGACATATTTGAAAGCGTCGTTCGCAGTGCATGCTCACTTCCGTTCACAACGCATGCTCAGGAAAGACTTCCATTCGTCATTTGTCAATCGCAGCGATCTGTGTGGTGTGGAATGCATTCCTCATTTAGAGAGAGCCGCGGGCCCACACTCGTGTAAGTTTGTGCTCGCCATCGGCATGCACTCGGAACAACTCGGCTCAAGCCCACCATTGGAAATGAACAACTTTCCGACTGCTTCCGGTGTGCTAGGCTGGCGCCCAGTCGAGAACCAAAGTCCGTCAAGGGACACCACTGGCAGGATGAGAACGACGAAGTTTTTTTGTCCCGTCTCGTGAGCTTGGAGCGTGCACGCGCAGTCAAAGCACGGCGGAAGGCAACTGTCGCTTCCCACTCGGCTGACAAGGTGGTGGAAACCACGAACTAGCCCGCAGATTAGCTCCACTAACTGGCTCGCCGGACCAACCCGATTCCAATCTCAGCGAAGGTGGGAAGCGTGATCACGTTCAGCAAGAACGACACTCGACTAGTCCAAAGAGCAACAGCTTCCACCGCCTCGTCAGCTGGGCTGTAAACGAAGCACCCTGAAAACGACCATGTGCGCCCAAAGCTACCCCCCCCCCCCCCCCCCTTAAGACATTGCCGCAAAACCAAGATTGTCTACGAACATTTTTAAGCAAGTTTCCGCCTTCCTCTCACCTCCTATGCCAGCCGCCGATTCCCCCCGGCGACTAGCCCGGTGGACGGTGAACCGGGTGAACTGTTCAGAATGAATGGATGAATTGTAAATATTCCTACCTCGTTGGAAATATCCGAAACATTCTGTATCTAGAAACATACAACGGTAATTTTTGTTTTAGGCGGTAGTTTGCGCCACCTACCCTACATCATTTCGAGACACGAGACAAAAAACCGGCAAAAAACACGCTGTGCGGTCGCCACCACTAGAGCACTATATAGCTCCTACGGAGCAGAGTAGCGCAATCCTTTGAACTCCGTGTTTTGCCGACAACATGGCCGACAGAGCGGATCGGCGCGAGTCACGTGGTACTCAGGGTTCCAGGAGGCGGCCAGCCCTATGGGAGAATACATGGAGATCGACTCAACACGGCTGATTAAAAAATGAACGCCGAGTTCACACTTTTCAAAACTAGTCTGTCATGAATTTAGTAAAGCACTAAACATTTTATCAAAGTTTTAATAATATCGGATGCGTGTGCAAATTTTGAGAAGGCAATTTCCAAGGCAATGGCGTTTGAAGCAGACGATTTTTGCTCGCAGCGGAGATGGGCTTTTCGGGTTGGCCGGAGCGGGTCACGTGAATGGTGTGACGTCGCCGTGTCGTCTGCTGCATGATGCCGCTCAGGCAATTTTTTAAAAAAAAGTCACGTCCTTTCGGGGCACAAAACTTAGCGAAAATTATTCTAAAATGTTCCATTATTATGTCAAAAACGATTGCCATTCCGTACATCCCCACAATACTGAAGAAACAACGATTTTCTCACGTTCTCCATGCATTTCTGACCGCAGTTGGAACCTCCGGGCGTTTGCCACTAGTCGCCGAGAGGCGGCGTTCTAGATTGCGCTACTCCACGCTACTCTGCTCCGAAGGAGCTATATAGTGCTCTAGCCACCACCGCCACGGTGTTGTGTTGTATTTATGTTGTGTTTTGTCCAGCGCGCCGCTTTTTGTTTTGCTTGTTGAGCTCTTTTTAGTTCGCCTAGTTCCCGCCGCTCCCGCTGGCGCCACAGCTCAGCTGTAGAGTAAACTGTTGTAAACAGCACACGCAAGGAGGTGGCGTCCCTATCCCCAATGCATGGAGTGAAGTGTAACGGAAGTAGGCGTGGCCACGAGCCGCAACGAGCATTTCTTGACCAATGGGAAGCCTAGTGAGTGGGCGCCGCCATTAATTTCGGTGCAAACAACCGTGTTGCCATGACATTTCCGTGGCAACGCGACTGTGTGCACCGAAAGTAATGGCGGCACCCACTGTTATTTGAAACAGCGTTTAATGGGAGACTTTTATATTATAAACGAACACCTGATTGCCCAGCAGAAAGTAAGTAACTAGAATTGAGACGCTCTAGACGACGTACCGTGAAGGACTTGGCGGTGCGCAACGCATTTTTTAATAAACAGCAGCAGCAGATCGCACGAGCGCGCATGCAAGCCAGGAGCGCACAGAACGGGCTCGCGCTTCCAGTTCTGACTTCGCTCGCACATAATGTGGAACTAAGTATAAACACTCACGCTGCAAAGCATTTGCATCGTGGACGCCCACGGCGGACGCCGACCGCATCGAAAGCTAGCCTCGTGAAGCACACGCCGGAGCAGATTAGAACCCGTACGAAAATGTCAGATTCAGGCCGGAATGAAAAATGCCAGTTCCGCCTAGACCCAAAATTGGGGCACCAGTTTGTATCCAGCCTGGAACCGCGCAGTTGCAGCCCCAGTTTTAAACCCATGACCGTTGCACCACCGGAATTCCCGCTGCGCTCACCTCTGGACTCTACAAAAGAATTTCGTGTTATGCCCTTAGCCGTTACAACCGAGATATCGTCGCGATTTCAGACCCAGGCGGAGTGGGTCTGAAATCGCGACGATCTTTCGCTTTTGTAACCGCTCAGGGCATCGCACGAAAGACTTTTGTAAAGTCCAGTGGTGAGCGCAGCGGTAATTATGGCGGCGCACACGGTCGTCCAGGCGTCGTCGCGTCGTCATTAAACAGTGCACGGAACACACACACAGCACGCACAAGCACAGTATCCAGTAGTGATGGTGGTGATGGGACGAATCGCCGGAAATTCGGATTTGGACAGATTCGGAAATTTCCGAACTTCCCGCGACGAATATTCGGCAGATTCGGAGATTCGTCAGGTTCGTCGCTGGTTGCAGACGGCAGCGTGAACCTTGTCGTAAACCTCGCGAATGCGGTCAGTTGTGTTTTTTTTTTAGGTACTGTTACTGCATATAACCTGATTTCGTCTTGCTTACTTTAACGTATGGTATGTACTGTACTGTCATTCTAAACCCTGGCACCCTGGCACGCGCCCAGGTCCAGCTGAGCTGATCGGTGTGGTTGGCGTATAGGCCTAACCAATGCACGGTCTCGGTTTCTCCGCGGTTTCGCGGTGATCGGTAAAATAAAATGTAGCGAAATGCTGTGCATTATACATAATGTGTCGCAACGCGCAATAAAGATATTCAGGCAAGGAAATGATTCGTCGTCTTCTCTAAAGCTGCGTAAGACGCGAGAGCGATGAAAAGTGTTGCTCGTCACAACTTCGACCGCGTACCGACACCGGCGAAGAAAAACGTCGCATTGAAGTTTCTCCGTTTTCGGCAGCAAATGTTGTATACGTGAACTTTATTTGATGAAAAAGAAATAACACAGGGGTTTCCAATGCCACTTTATTGTTCAGAAACAAACACTAACTAATTCAGATACCATTAACTAGAGAAAGGTACAAATGCAGTACAGGAGACTGTAATAGTACGGCGCAAAAAGTTTGATTGTTTCCCGTGTTCCGATAACAATACCGCAGTGGACACAGGTTGAAGATAATCGAATTGAACATACTCACTCAAAATGTGTTTCTGCCGAGCAGCACGTACGGCCTCGATCTCTTGCGAAAAAGCGAAGATCTTGAACGATGTTCAAGATCTTCGCGTAAACATCACCTCGCCCCGTCGACCCGCCGCTGCAGCGGCTCCACGTCTGCCGAATCCCGCCGGGCTGGGGGGTCCTGGTGTTCAAAAAAGTCTCTTCCACCCGTTTGCCCCCAACCGACTGTCGCCGAACCGCCCGGACGATGAAAACATGCGCTTGTATTTCCACGTGCACCAACATGCCTATTTTGGTCGTAATCCGGAACCGAAACCAATTTTCCCGCGATGTCTGGCTGCCGTTCTCGACAAACATCGGAAATATTATAAACAAAGTGGAACATTTTATTTGTTACTGTGATATTATATTACAACAATATTTTGTGCACTTTGTAGAGTTTAGTCAATTTAATATCAGGAAAAGTTGAAACACTCATCAACGTAATCTGGCAACCACGGCAACGCTCCGAATTTTTCCGAACTTTTCCGAATCTCGTGAGATTCGGCTACTCTTCCGAATCTTTCCGAATCTTCAGATTCGGCTCCGAATCTCGATTCGGATAGAGATTCGTCCCATCACTAGTATCCAGTGTTGAGTGCGTCGGGAAGTTCCGGCGGGCAAGCGGTATCCAAGTTGCCCAAGTATTGTCACCAAGCACACCAGCGCATCCAGATGCCGAGCCAAAGTGCAATGGGTCGGCAGCTTCACACTATATAAAGATTCAAAGCCGAGGTCAGTGGGTATCCATCCAGGGCAACGATGAACGCGTCAGTATCCGTGCGCCCGCAGCGCGAACGTCGCCGCCGGCCGGCAGGCCGACGGGAGCGGAGAAGAACCGAAACTGCCGAAACTGTCGAAGCGCAGCCGCTGACTGCAACAGACAATGAATGCAAGGCGCGCGTCGTCGCCAAACACGGTGCACGGAACACACACACAGCACGCACAAGCACAGTATACAATGTTGGAGTGCATCCATCCAGGGCAACGATGGGCGCGTCAGTATCCGTGCGCCCGCAGCGCGAACGTCGCCGCCAGTCGAGCGCCGACCGACCGCGCGGCAAGCGCGAAGAACAAAACTAAACTGACTCGGAGACAAAGCCAGGCCGCCAGGCGCGCGCGCGGAGAACGCCCGCTCGCAGCGCCCGCGTAGGGGATGCAGCGGAGGTGGCGGAGGCGCCTGTCCCTAACACGTGACACGCGAGAGACCGCGAAAGTTCTCCGCCATACCCCCCCCCCCCCCGGCCACACACCCCTCCCTCCCCTCCTCCAGTCACGGTTTGCGCGCCGCTGGCTGGGAGCCGGTGTAGGACGCCGATCTCACTACCCCTCTGCTTCGACTACGGTAGTGGTTATCAGTGTTGCGGAGTTGCCACTCCGGAGTTGGAATGACTCCGGAATCATTCCGCATTTTCGCGACCCCGGAATAGAATGGGAATGGAATGGCGGCAACGTTCAGGGGAATGGAATGGGAATGGAATTAGACGCCTTTTGCCCGGAATGGAATGGGAATGGAATGGGCCAGGTTCTTTACATTTTATTTATTTATTTTTTACGTTCAGCTTTACCGAGCCAGTCAGGGAGTCGGTTGTTTAGAAATAAAATGAGCGGGAAACTGCGAACCCGCGTAAGGCCCTAGCAGACTTGTGCGCAAAAGAAAAAAATGCAAAACAAAAAACAAGCGTCAAAGCAAAGAACAAAGGGGGGAGGGGAGGGGGGGGGGGCGGTGGCGCCTTTCACCAGTGAAGTTCAACACACATCCGAATGCGTCTGCGTCTGTAATATTGCACGGCTGGTACGTCATCTGCCGACGTGAACGTAACATGCTGCTCTGGTGATCCGATACCCAGGAAGAGGCCAGATGTGGCCTCGCTGTGCGGACCCAGACTTCGTACACTTTCCAGTAGTCTCGAACGCGCTGTTTCTCGAAGAGCTCGCACCTGTGCTGGCAATCTCAGATCGCAATCCACGAGACGTTTGTTTGAATGATGCTAGGC